AAAGGAAAGGCATTACTTTTAAACTGGATGAATGGCTGATACTTTTTGATTTACAGCTAGAAACAGAAAAATGGTAATGGCATGAAATAAGCATTTGCAAAACCGTTTTGGCAGATGGAAAATGTTTGATTTACCTAGGGCATCCATCAGGTTCTATATTTTAGATCAAAGTCGATAAATGGAAAAGCAAATGGATATTTGGGGATTAAAAAAAAAGAAATTACTGCTTTTCTGTCAGCCCTGCAAGTAAGTTAAATGTCGGGGGGGGGGGGGTGGGGTGGGGTGGGGGAAGCCTAAGGCTTTTTGGACAGAAAGAAGTCACGACTGATCACTGCTCTGGCAACTACAGCTTTTTATATTTACCTGGAAAAGTGAGGATTGCGTGGAAGTAGTTGTAAGTTTCTTATTCTGGGCCTGATTTTGAGACATGATTTGAAGGAAGCTGGCAAAGCCCAACACTTCCACCTGACACTGGATAAGGCACACCTTGGATCATATTTTCCTCTCAGCTCTCACTCTCTTTCCCTCTCCTCTTCTGTCTTGAATTCACATTGAAGAAAATACATTCCTCCTTCCTGGCAATTCTAACCCCATTGCCTTTTCAGATGCTTTTGAAACCTGTTTAATAGGAAAGCCCACTGAAGTAAGGCTTATTGGACTGTTATCTGTGACAAATGACACTGAAGAATCAAAAATCAGCTTCTTTCTAGGGCACTATTCTAGGGCATGATTTCTGAGCAGTCCACAATCTTGTTCTGAACTTCTCCTATGCTGAAATGCATCACCGGGAGCTGCATAGTGTATGCCTTGTGTCCAACCCTTAAAGCATCACTAGACCTGTGGTACATGTGTTGCACAGATGGTCTAAACATGCACAGTTAATCAGAAATGGTGGTTATGCTCGTGAAAATCCCACAAGAGCACATGCATAACAGCACCACCAGATTCACTGTGAGTGTGCAAGTGTTGTGCAGTGGGCATTTCCAGCAAGTGTCAGATTTGCTATATAGGCATCATAGGAATTATTTCAGTTCACGTGATGAGGAAAAAACTGGGATTACAAAACATCCAGAAATCCTGACAAACATACACAATCCTTGAACATGACCTCTCAACAAAATGGCTGGGGAAGGACACGAATAGAGAAATTCAGCATATGTCCTTCTGCCTGCTCCATCAGGAAACAACACAGAGAACGGTATTGCCTTCCCAGCTCTCTCGACATAATTATGAATATGAGCAGCAAATCCATCAGCTACTTCTGCATCTATTTATCCTATGGAAGGGTTACCCAGCTCTTAATAGGCCAAAGACCAATCAAAACTCATATATTTTGCCCAAATAGGTAAAAAAGCCAGCAGGATTTGTAATTGCACAATAACAGAGCTGGCTGCTCTCTAGAATACTCATTTCATACATTTATCATTACAAAATTAGCAGACATCTACTGCTGACTTACATGGCCTGTCTTTAAACTCGGTAGCTTTTCCTTGACCACTGAAATACTGGAATTGGTTACCCACAAAGATTGGGAAACTGCATCCTTGCACATATTCAGAACCTGTCTGGACAAGATCCTGAGAAAACTGTTCTATCTGACCATGTTTTGAGTTGGAGGGTTGGACTTGGTGAAGCTCCTTCCAACCTCCCCTATTCTCTAATTCTGTGGTGAAGATCTTTTCCTCCAGTTTTGTAGATGCACTTGTCTTCCAAGAAGTAATTCATTGATCATGACCCTACCATAAGCTGTAGTTACTGTTGTACACAGAGTTCAAAGATGCTGCATTTGTGGAATGGTCCAAATCCTCTCCAGTTATCAACAGAAAATGAACAAAAAATATCAAGTGTTACCAGCAAAAGAGATCAAGAAGGAGGATGCTAACCCTCTGCTACTTTCCAATACCTGTGACTGGTAAACAGCACTTACACATAAGGCTTTTCATACACAGTTCTACAGGTGAGGTGAAAGCCAATGCATCTTCAGACAAGGCTCAGCAAGCAGCACTGGACCTTTTGTGCCTATATGTCCTCCCCTCTCCCCAGGATTATCTTTAGTTATGCCTCTCTGAAACAGCAAAATTGCTACAGACTTGCATGTACATAAACTCTTAAAATCAAGACTCAAGTCTAAGAACACCAAATGCAGGCCTTTAACAGTCAGTATACACGTGCGAGCTGAAGATTTGTGCACATCCAGGGATATCTGAAAGTTAAACACTTTGTAGAAAAAATCATTGCAGGCTGCCATGCAAGGAATAAAATAAGTGTTAAAATATTGAGCTAGAAGTAAGGCCAGACTGTATTTCTCCTGTAATAAATCAGCACTATATGTATATATTAAATCCAATCCCTTGAAGTGTCCAGTTTCAGTGATAAAAACTTAGTGAGCAGGGCAGAAGTTACTGGGCAGAGATCAATATGCCTGCTTGTTGTCCTTGATTGGCAATAACGCGACATTTTCTCCTTGACTGTAAGAGGCGCTTTTGTGATTTGGGAGCATAAAGAAATTCTGTACTTGACAGATTTATATAGTAGGAATACACTAATGTCCTTTGACCCGCTTAAGAATAAATACGACCTACCAAATTGTCATTTTTATGGGTATTTACAACTGAGGCACTTTGTAAACCAAAGAACTAATATTTCCCAAAGGAAATCTTTACTCTCAAATCTTGATAAATTATTGAAAAATACAAGCCACTACCAGCCCTACAAATTTTCTCTGCTATTTCTCCTATTTTTAGTTACATAGAAGTTGTCGAAGCAGATTGGACCACTGATCTATTTCATCAGGTATGTTGCTGCAGTCAGGGCTAGTGCTTAAAAAAAATCCTGTATTTTTGGCCATTTGCTCAGGATAGTGTACAAAAAAAGTTCTTTCCTGAAACTTGAAGGTTTTCAGTAATAATTGAAATATTAGTCATATAACTCTTTAAACTCTCAAATTAGAAAAGCATTACAAAATGTAATTTCCACAGCCGAAATGTCAGCAGCTGCATTTGCTCTTGTGAATGTTTCAGTTGATACTTCAAAGATACAGTGCCAGGAGTGGAATAAGCCACCCAGTTCACCCAAACTTCAGAGCTTGCCACCTCATTTTGATACAGATACTTTGTATATTTCATAACTCCTTATTGACCAACTACATCCCTAGTTTCTTAATTCCCCAGGCCAGGTGACCCAGGAAGCCTACACTTGATTGCTATATCTCAGCTCCAGTTCATCCTACCTGCCCACACACTTGCCATATAAATTTTTCTATCACCTTTATGGTGTCTCTGCCCCCAAAGGCTTTCAGTAGAGACAAACCAACTATCCACAGAGGAGAGATGGAAGCTAATAAGACTATGACCTTTGCCCTTCAGAACCTTCCTCTGGAAGATGACAGCACACAGCTATACTTCTACAGCTTGGTCTTAAGGAAACAGAAGGCTTTGACATGAAACTGATTATTAATATTGTCATCCTTAACAGAAGACTTGGAAGCTATTTCCTTTTGTCCTTATTCTCCACCTGAAAGTTGACAAAAAAGTCAACAATACTCAGGACTGTATCAAAGACATGAGACTTGCAGTGTTTTTCCAGCAGAAGCTTATTGTTTCTCCTCTTGGTTATATCCCTGTACAACAGTACAGATCTTCTCAAAGACTTCAAACACATCAGATTTTGACTAAAGCATCATGACGTGGCAGTCATCTCTACTTTTGCTCAATTTCTAAGGGCAGCTGCTTTTCTATTTTTCTTTGCGCATCTGTGGACAACAAAATCTTTATCACAATAATGTCTTCATTAAATCAGTTTTTGCCTTCAGCTTATTCTTAGTCTTCTGCATACTATAATCTATGTATATGCACAAGAAAGGCTTGAGAGGCAGGCTGAAAAAGCAGGAAGCTGGAATAAACAATGAAACAGGAACTGCAAGAAACTTGAGCATCTTTCCTTGCCCTTACTGTGCTGCCTTCCTTTTCATCCCTGCTTACTGCCAAATTTGGGATTCCTCCTATATTTGCATGAAACATGATCTCCAAGTTGTCTGTTCTGTGACCTCATTCTGATAGCAGTATGACATGGCACAGCTAAAAGACTGACTGTAGCACAAAGCTGAACAGTTCTGATTTTAACTACTATCTCGAACACTTAATTTTTGTATCAGATTTGGCAAATTTAGATATTTACAATTTCTTGTACACTTGATGTTATTCCCTAAGTAATAAAAAGGTCCTAAATACCTACTAACCCATCAGCTCCTACCCTCTACACTGAATATTCCATCTCCCTTTGCACAGGCAGTAGGACAGAAGTACACGTTGCATTTTAATATAAAAAACATCCAGTAACCCAGTGATCCACGCAAACAAATGGCATCTCTGTCCCATTCATTTCAAGAACAGTGATGTGCCTTGGATAAAGAAATTATGAAACATTAACTTCTCTTGTCTGATAACTTACTATAGTTCTGAAACAAGGAAAATTTGATAGTAACAGGGAAGAGAGAAGTTAAACATACAGTGTAGTAGCTTCACCCCAAATCAATAAAATCCCGTTTTGACATCTTGAAAGACACCTACCTGTTAATAAGATCAACAGATTTTTAATCAAGTTAATTACCCTCACACATCTCTTCCTACCGTCAAGTGTTTAACAAGAAGCATCTTAGGCTCTCCTTACCTTTACTACTTCTAAAGCTTTAAACTGTAAGCAAAGGAACACACTATGTTGTGAAGTGCAACTTATGCCTCATGTGAAAGGTTTTCCTATTTGTGTTGCAGAAAGTCTTTTCTCCCCAAAGTTATCTGTGTATTTAAAGATTGGGGTGACAAACATCTATGACTCTCAACATTTGATCAGAAACCATTTGGCCTTAATTTAGCTCAGTTGTGCCAGGGAAGTTTAGATTGGATATTAAGAAAAATTTCTTCACCTAAAGGGCTGTGAAGCACTGGAACAGGCTGTCCAGGGAAGTGATGGAGTCACCATCCCTGGAGGTAATTAAAAGATGCAGCGCTCGGGGACATGGTTTAGTGGTGAACTTGGCAGTGCTGTGTAAACTGTTGGACTTGATGATCTTAAAGGTCTTTCCAACCTAAATGACCAATGATTCTGTGTCCTCTATTTGCTGCAGACCTACAGAGGCTGACAGGAAGGAGTGATGCTTCTCTGACTGTGAGCAAAGCACACGGGAGAAAGTGACTCCTCTATGAATGCTGGAATATTTCAGTGCCCCAAAGGCATCAGTCTGAGATAGTGCATGGGCAAGTAGCAACTTTGTCAGATGAAGAATAATCCAAGAAAAGTGTCTAATTGGTCTGTCCAGACCTGAGTGAGAATGTGACAAAGTCTTTTTGACAGAGGAAGTCAGGAATATAAATGCAGTCAGGAAACTATGCAAAATTTTCAACTTAATATTGACCAAGTATGGACTTTTCAACAGAAGAGTCCTAACCAGTCGCCATATGAGAATAACGTGATTGAAGTTATTAGTCCTATCATAGGTCTTTTAAAGACATCCTAAGGGAAATAGGCTTTTTATTGCTAAAGCAAGTGTTCAAGGTTTCAAATAATCTTTGTCACTAATATTCAAACAATGGTAAAGAATAGGGTAAAAGATGGAGCAAAGTTTGATTATGCCTCAACATGAACAATTTCTTGCAAGCCTCGGCACAAGCACTGGTTCTTATAAAGGCAAGGAGCTAATGGGTAGGTTTCCCTGACACCCCTATGGCAGGAATCCAGCTACGTCTCTCTTGGAAGGATTTTAAGTACTGACAGTATTTCTACAGTGCTGGCTGTAGAGTGGAGGGGAGGGTCAGTTCTATGACACAGCATGCCATTTTAGCCCTTAATAAAATATCTCAGCCCAATTTTCCATCCTTTCTGAAATATATAATTTAGGTTGCATAGATAAGGACTGCAATTGTGCAAGAAAACAAAGCCATGGAGGGTTCTGTTCCTATAATCCACTTTCAAGTTCATTGGCACAGCAAATTCTGACTAGATGAGTCTCTGAAAATTATCAATAAATCTTACAAGCTCACATATTTGCAGCACTGAAATAGGTAAAAAAACATTTGTCTTATTAGGTCCAGCTGAAAATACTTAAGTTTTATGAATGGAATTAATAAGGTTTATTAGGAAAAAATAAGGGTTTATTAGGATTTATATATTGATTTGGACCACAAAGTCAATTACTACCAGTGAGGTTTACTTATCTATAATTTCACTTGAGACCCCCATTTTACTAGGTATCTTTCCTGTGCTGATTCAGGTGATACTGAATCTTCATGAAGTGTCATTTTCTTACACAGATGGACATTTATATTTCCTCTGCTGGTTCATAAGTTCCCAGCAAGAACCACACATGAGGTTTGGATGGGCATGTGAAGGAATTGAGCTGTGGGCAATTACTGTTGTATTTTCACAAGCTATTTTTAATTCTTTTCGTTCAGCACAGAATGGACACAAGTATAGTAACTACGCAAGAGCAAAACCTGAGAGAAAGAAGAGATCCAATAAGAAAAGAGAGGCCACTATCTGACATTTGAAAAGGGCAAATTGAAAGCAATCAACACCCAACAAAATGCTCAATGTAGGATGAGGTGATAGCTTAGGATATACTTAGGATACTGTAATGAGGCTAACAAGTGCTGTGTGTTTTAATGTAAATTAACACAAGATAATCTCTTCACATATTTAAGTGATGCACTTCAAATTAATTAATACATATTTAATAGAAGTCTTCTTGAACAGCTGTTATTTACTTCTGGAGTTTCTACACATTAGCACTGCCTGCTTTGTTCTCCTCTGAAGTTGTTCATGCTCCAAAGTACTTTAACAACTTGGTGTGTATAAAAATTGAACAGTCTTCCCAAAAGAGACAGCCTTTCTGATAACTTAATATTTTTACATTAAGTATTCAAACAGTTTCTGAACAAAAGGTCAAATTTAACTTACAGCATCTGTGTGAAACAGGCAAGCAGATGCTTAATGCTGCCAGACAAATACTTTCAGCACAAAGAATGATAAAGAGTTGGCCATCAGTCACATTTCCAGGCTTTAGAATCTGCTTTCCTCTACTTCTGTTCACTAAATTCTGCACTTACCATTCACATGTAACAATACAGACCAAAAATACGTCCTCTTCCTTTTGTAAGTGTTACACAGAGGTATGTTAAATGAAATCCTGACAGTGGAAGTGCTGTCTACACTGTTCATTGTGTGTGATGAGCGTTACACCAACTCATGAGGGTTTTTGTCTTACAAAGACTACTACATCTAACATTACTCCATTTAGACTTGCATACAGCATTGAAGGAGTTCTCATCACCCCTTTTATGCAGATGAAAACCCATTTGAGTTCCATTCACTTCTGAGTTTTTTGGATGTGAATGAGTAAAAAACGATTCAAGAAAGATGCTGGCAACACATTGTATTTTCACACTCACAGTGATGAATGTGACTTTTGGCAACTGTAATCAGTTTCTTTAAAGATAATTATTGTCACAGAACAATCCTTAGCAGTGTACTGGTCGTAGTTTTCAGCTGACTATTTGAAGATGGCTACTGTTCTTTGGGTTCTTTTAAACTTCCATATAGCTAAAAGATCAAATTCAGGGGGAACCTCTCACAACACACATAGTAAGACTGTAATATTTTCCCTCTACATTTTACAGGAAAAAATGAAAATCTGTGTTTAGCTGTCAGCTTGGTAGAAAGGTTTCCATCATAATTACACTTTGTGTATTGGAGGGAACCTGGCAGGTTTTAACATCACTAATACTAGTCTGGAGAGGTACAAAGCTGTAGGAGCTTGCTGAAAAATAACAATAAACCTTTATTAAAATTTCCATTTTTTGTGAAAACATTTTGACTAAATTCCAACTCTACTTAAAATGTAATTAAATATTTACATTAACTACCTAATAAGTATTGTAAGTAAATCAATTCCCCAATTATCCTAAATTTTTATATGGGACACAATGACTACATTTTTGTAATAAATACACAATTCTAATGAAAAAAAAAAGATCTTGAACTTTAAAAGAGCCCTTCATTTGAAGAGATGAAAGAGCTGTACATTCATTCATTTATTATGTCTTAACAACCCCCATGTGATGTAGGTTCTATTATCATCATTTTACAGATGGGGAAACTGAAAGAGTAATTAACTTGTCCAATTTACCACTCTTACCTGTAAACTAAGGGCATTCTATTGTACTCACAAGCAAAACAAAACTCAGCTCACCTGTGATGAGTATTTACTACAAATTCTTAAAATCCATAGCATTTTACTTATAGGAGAGAATACATTATACAAGACTTCAGAGAGTTGGTTTTGTGTTAACGCTGGCTTTGAGTGCCACAGAAATGTGCTGCCTAGAAGCATATATCAGAGCAAGTTTATTGTAAGCGCCACCCTGTTTCCCAGCTAGTTATGGAGATGATGAGTGTTTTCATTTCAAGTTATTAGCCCTTCAACCACACATTTGTGCTTTAATTCTGTATGATGTATCATAATACATTTATACACACACACGAAAAAATACTGTTTACTGACAATTTCACTCTCTCAGTTTACGTATATGTTCCATAAATTTCTTTACTCGGCCAGGATCAACAGCATTTGCCCAATAACCTTCTTTCTTGAAATACGAACCAATTATTAGAGCATTTGCATCCAAGTAAGTCATCATGTTCTCCAGAGTCACTCCAGACCCAACCAGCACAGGAATCTTCACAGTATCTTTAACTTCTGAAAAGAAGAAAACCAAAATTAGGGTTAAGTCCGTCTTTGAAACTCTACCAAGGCTTTAATTTACACAGTTTTTCAACAATAAAGTTGAGGATCAAGAAAATAGTGATCACAGTATTTTGTACTACTTCTATAGAATGAAACAACTTCTCTAGAAAAAGAACTCCTTTAGTTCTCACTATTTTGTAAGATACAAAATTTGGGTCTTGATACCATACCTGTATCCCTCTTTATTCTCAAGGAACAAGATTTAACCACAATTAAGTAGAATTGGCTGGCAGAGAATGTACTGCATTTTACTATAGTCCCCTCACCAATTCATCTTTACTCCACATCCCTGGTAGGAAGAAATGCTAGATGAAGGAAGTTTTTGCACAGCACTTTTACTTACTGTGATTGTTACCATCATGCTTAGAGGCTCCGTTGTGCTTGAGGTACTACACCTACACAGATAGGAGCTATTGTTTACTACCGGGTTGCAATAGCACCCAGTATAGATTCCAAGCAAACCATATCTATTGCCTTGACAAAGTATGCACTGGAATGACTGTGTGGGCTACTATGCTCCATGTGGAGTCTCAACACTCTTCTCCATTTCCCTCACCTAAAGACATGTCATCACCTCCACAGTCTTCCCATTAAGTAATCAAAATACAGCTACAAGAACAGGATGCCATTCTTGTTTTGATTTGTCATATCAACTCAGATTCTTTCTTGCAAGTCTGGTGAGAACATTACAGTGGCAGAACTACTCAGCAGAGCTGTGCTTATTACAATTCTTCTGTCATCAGTTTAAATCACAACATGGTAATTGGACTGGTGTGTATTTCTGCCAGGTATCCTTGCTGAATTCATGCTATGTTGACAAATAGTAGAAGATCTTCAGTGAAAAAACAAGAGCAGCCTTATTCACAGGGAAAAGGAATGTGTCCTCTACTTCCTGACATATTTCAGGGACTCAAAAGTAGGAAAGCAAGCAGCAGTCATATAGACTACACTGATAGCTCCAGAAAGCAAAAGATAATAGTGATAAAGGCTACTTTTCTCTCCGGGAATGGCAATGAAACAAAAAAGCCCTTGTTGTTTTCTGTATACAACATGTGTTACTTTATCATCTGACCCTTCACCTGGCTCCAAAAGGAGAAATAAACAAAATATCAAACAGGGCTCAAAATATTACAGAACCCCTTCGTCCCTCACACACAGGGTGGATTCCAGGGCATGGTTCACTGTAAAAGGCATAGATTCCAACAGATCTGGCTGTGAGGAAATGGATCTACGGCTCAGCTACCACACTTCCCATTTTTTAGAACAAAACCAAAACGGGATGGCTGTTTTAAGCATGGAAAAGTTCCCCATAGATAGAAGTTATTTAGGAGTATTTTCTGCAGAACTTGGGTCAGTACTAGCCCTGGAAAAAGAAATAAAAATTAAAAAAAATATACCAGTCTAAGAATTACTAAGCATCCTTCTCATCCTCTCATTTCAATCTGACCATCCTCAGAGTTACTTCTAGGAGTGGATGCTTCATCCCTTAGAGAAATGTTGTGAGGCGTTATTTCTGACCTTTAAACACATATGAATTACTTTAATGGGTGATAAACTGATATATGATGGTCAGAGCTTGTGGTAACTGGAGAAAACACATATGCAACATATTAGAGTCTGCTTCAAAACACTTTGTTTAAATGAAGTTTCATCAGCAGCCTTACTTATTAATTATGCTTCAGGGAAGACTAATTATTTATCACCTTCCTACTTAACTGAAGAAAGGGGATCAATTAAAATGCTCTTGAATCTCTTTTTAGGTCACATGACCTACCATTTTCCATGTAGGAACAATAACTCCTCCTTACAAATATTTCAACACAAAAATAAAACCATTCTACGCAGTCGTTATTGAAAATTTTAAATAAATCAGATGGATCATGCCTATATAATTAGAACTTCAGTTATTTTTACACATGTTTTTTTATTCTTATAGTCATCTTGCTTACAGGAGCAAAATAATTACATTTTCATTATTTACAGTATGATTACTGAAATCCTGTTCTAGAAAAATCACAATACCTATATAGTATCTATGTGCTCTTAGAAGCACCACATTTGCTTTACATAGATGCCAATGCATAATTAAGGTTCTACAACTGACCAAAGGTGTGTGCAACAGTACTTGTATACTGTATTCCTAAGGGAACTGCATTCCAAGTCAATATTTGTTTTTAGGACAAGTGTATAAGGCACATTAGTGGTAGTCATTTGATAATTATTTCATATTGCCAGGAAAAATTAAGAGCCAAATAATTAAACAGAGCATGATCACCTGGGTGTAAGACAGTCGCGTAGCCCTAGCAGAGAGGAAAACCCAGCAAAACCTGAGACTGTTATGAAACCACAAAAACCCCAAAGCTTTCCAAAGGAGCAAGGTATCCAACTCCTGCTGTCACCCATACATGACACATGGAGTCCACACACACCTCCTGAGCTGCAGGTTTATTTAGAGTGATGATGTGAGGAATGGCAATGGGAGTGCTCAGTCTGGATTAAGACTGGGGTACCGAATTAAGTATGCTACAGATGGTACTTCTACGTCATTTCCAAGCACATCAAGGCCTAAAGTTGATTAGTACAAGGTGATTTGTCTATTGGCTGGGTTAATACAAATGCTAACTTGTAAAAGAAAATAAAGCAACAGCAGTTTGATATGCTGTTGTATGGCAATGTTCAGTCACTGTCAAGATGTCTCTAAACACAGAGATTTAAATCTTTCAGCTTTCTTGCCTTTCTTTTCCTGTGTGTGTATATGTGTATATATATATATATTATTTTTTTTTTTTACACAAAGAGAGAAGGAGACAATTTTTTGACGTTACAGTGAAAAGATCCTAAAGTTTACAGAACTTCCACGTTTCTCTATTTCAGTAAACTGTAACTAGAGGGCACTGTGCTCTTTCTTGTGGCAGTACATCTGCAGACATGTCTTTAATAAAATCAAATAAAGTAGTGCTTGGTTGCAAAGCACAATGAAAGAATTTAACTATTACGCACAAGTTACATGAAATAAAGGCCAAATGCTCCTAGCTTGAAAACAATGGTGAAGAGCAGCGTAAAAATAAGCACCACTGTGCCAATAACTTGCTTGACTACTCCTCTTTTAACAGCTTTTTCATATGCAGTAATCACTGTACCGTACACAACACTATGTTTATGGTAATGCTCCACTGAAACACATTTTTTTTTAATTCAAATGACTGTTATTAAATGTGGGGCTTACAAAAAGCACTGATCAGACTCACATCTCTTGTTTATTTCAAGAGTACCACAAAGGCAGCAGCCTCTATTTATACCTAAATGTATCATCAGAAGGTGAGAGGGTAAATCAGCCTTGATAACCCTTTTATGAACAATAACTAAGGAGGTGACAGTCACAGCCAGTTGTTGAATTCCTTGCTGTACCCTGTTTGCCACTGGTTACTCAGTTGAGGCCATTTGCTTTGTTTAAAGAGACAACTAAGCAGTTGTTATGCAAAGATTTAGTCACTTAAAATACAGACTAGATGCAAAGCAGGTATTTCTGCAGCTGGATCCAAAGAGAAAACCTGATAGATTACCACACTCCAACCAAAGAATGTTTCAGAAGGTAGAAACTGGAACAAACTTCTATAACTTCCTGAATGAAAATATGGTTTATTAATTAATTGTAACTAAAAATGCTCAGCTAATTCCTGCTCCTTAATAACCTGAAGTCTGATTTTTAGACCTTGTACTACATCAACCACTGGTGCCCTGGTATGCTCTGGGCCCTACCAGCCTCTGCGAGGGGCAATGCTGATGGTTGCTTACAAAAAGGCAGTGACACAAGCTACAAACAAAATCCTACTTAACACAGTTCGGTGGTTTGACAGGGAAACACTCATTTCCCCCACCCCATCACGTATCAGTCAATTCAACACAAAGACACAAAGGCAAAACCACTCTTACGTTACCGCACAACAAAGCTGAAAAGAACACATGACAAAAATCTCATACATCTCTTGGTTCTGCTTTCAAGAGATGCTTTGCAGTGTGATGAAAGGTGCCCAATTGTGTGTATCATCATAACACAGCACTTCCAGAGCTGCATAAGTTCGTGAAAAGCAGAATTTCACTCACATCAACACCAGCTTTGTAGACTGCAGATCTGATTCCTTTTAAGAATCTGCTGACATAGTTATGCCTAATTTGTCATTTCCTTATACCCCGGAATACTGATTTTTAAGTTCTTCTCTTAATTGTTTTAAGCCAACATCGTTCTCATGAGAGGGTCTGCTAACATCCAGAGTGCTTTGACCTAAGTTAAAATAAACCCATGATCTTCAGACTCTTGTTTTCATAGCACAAATCCAAACACAAAATTAATGTGTGTATTTCATTACAACTGCCAACTCTGATTCATTTTGTTCTTTGGATCCACAAAGAGAGCAGGACAGACTGACATGTTTATTCGCATAGAAGAAAAGCAGAAGCCAGGGTGCTATTTGTTTGGCGTCCTGTGATAAAAAAAACTTTGGGCCTGTGTCGTGGTTAGGTTTTGCTCTTTGATGCAGGAAATGAATGGTGGTTGCACATGCATTTGTGAAAGTGGAGTTTAACCTAGGATTTTGTCCTAAGAATTATACAATATTTTTTTTAAATTATTTAATCTGTATTGAGAGTGATGAGAGCATTAATTGCAGACAGGGATGAAGCTTATGATTAAGGAAATTTTGCAGTCCCTAAAATAGGCCTAGCTTTTGGGTCACCTGTTTCATGTATCATTTCTAGTTTTCTATGCCAAAAGACTCACCTAATTCAAGAGCTCAGTGTTCACACCAACCCATCATTTTAACATTGGTGACTGAAGCATAGCCATTTATAACCCATTATCTGGCAAAAAGTTTAATGTGTGAAATAAGAATCCATTTTGACAAGTTCAACATTCATTTTACATGCTGTTAAGCACATAAGATATAGACAAAAATCCTGAAAACACTGAATAATTTCATGTTATTTCAAAAGCTGTTTGAGGCCCAGTATCTATGGCAAGTAAAGTATGTTTTTCACGCTGATCAGTGAACAAAAGTTGAATACAATACACTCTGCACTAGAACTTCAAAACATGACAAGTTAAAGCATGTCAGCAAAAATAAACCCTAAAAAAAAAAAATAAATTACACGTTCTATTTTATGTAGAGAGACCCTCGAATTCAAGAGATTAAATTAAAATTAGTGATGAAAATTAAATGCCACCATGACAGAACTTTAATTCCAGCATGGGAGCAATCCAATTTCATAACAGCTCAAACTTATTCCAATAGAAAAATGTGAAGAAACTTGTAACACTTTGGAAAGGGTAACAACTTTGGTCGAATGACCCTCCCTTGGCAAAAAGTCCACACCATTTAAAAAATATTTTGATGTAATATCTGTGTATCTACCAGTGAACCTGTACTCTTTCTGAAATCTTCCAAGCAGTACTTCCCTTGGTATTACTGATCAGAATGTTGCCTTATCAAAATTCCCCTTTTCTTTCAGGACTTGAATTTCCGTTGTGAAAGATAAAAATGCCTTATTCTTCAATGGAAAGATTTATAGTTAGGTAGTTTTCTAATAGGGCTATAAAGTAGCTTTTTTTTATATGAAGACTTGTCAGAAATGAAAAGTTGTGGGATTTTTTGACATGGTTTTGTGGACATTTTTAATATTTTCTTTGTATTTAAACCTCAGCATCATTCAGTGTTACAAAGGCTTGAAATAATTCTCATTTTCATCACAACAAATTGTTGTTTAGAACCACAAGACAGACAATCTGAGTAGCACCTCAATTACATAAGTGCTCCTGTATCAAATCAAACCCAACAGTGAGAGGTTTTTTTCTTGCCTCTTCATTTTTTTATTATTTTTTTTTTATCCCTTAAGGAACAGCAGATAAATAGATTAATAAATACATTAATCCAGATTTGCTGCCCATTGTCTTACCTTTGTCTGACAGCTCTCACCTTTCAGCTCCTGGGGATCTGCAGGCAGTCCAGTCGCTGTGCCAGTCAGTATAACCCCATCAGCCAGGAAGAGCTCAGCCGCCGAAGCGGTCTGGGCCACGCTGACATCCGCTGTCAGAGCGCGAGCACTGTCAACAGCATGAACATACCCTGTGGTTACTGTTGGCACACACGTTTGTTATTCACCTTGTTGAACGTTCAGTCTAACATTTTCTTCATCTTTCCTGCTGTCAGAACAACCAAAGGCAAGCTTTGTGAGAGAGGGCAAGCATACTGTTTTAAACTAAGAAGTAACGTCACAACATGAACAAGAAGGAAAAAAACCAACCTTTTCCATCAGGGAATTATAATTGATCTGTCTATCATTCTGGGTCTCCTGTCTCTAAAGACTGATTGCTGAGTGTGAACTACCAAGTGTCAATTGAGACAGCTACTTACATGTCGAGCACCTGTATTTCAGAAGTGTTGAGCACACATGGCTCTGACTTCAAGTGGGAGTTATGGATGTGCAGTCATTCATAAATCAGATTATGTTGCTAGAACAGAATTAACAACCTCCATTTTACAAAGTCCAACTAACAGCAAGTATAGTTATTACCTATGATTTAATCACAGGAATCGTCTTACACAGTAGTTGCAAACATCAATTACCTGCAACCTAGCTTTTCAAAAGCAGTCTTTGTTATATGGGTGATGCATTTTGTATGAAACCTATGGCAAAAGCAGCGTTTAATTTAAACAGTTCTAAACTTTGTAAGAAGTCCAGCAATTGCTGGTTCAACAGCTGACTTTGTTGTTTCAGTATTTACATTTAAGTAGAAACTGATGGCTACGGCTGGCATGTTGCACTTATGAGCGGTGCTGGAGACAACCTCTTTCCTGGATCTGCCTGGATGGACAACACTCCTGGGGGGGGGGGGGGGGGGGGGTGGTTCATGCTCTGGCCATATTCAGAGGCAGCATATATGTGCAGTGTGATGGATGGGAAAGGAAGTACACTAACTCCCTTTCTGCAGCTGGAGAAGGGCAGGCTTAACTAATAAATACATACAATGAGATTGAAATGAGGCTTAAGAGTAATAGGCACCCTAAAACTAGCACATGGAGGGTAGCCGAAACACAGCAAGTAGACAAATAGTTTCTGCACATTTAAAGAAGAGGAGGCTAGCAGCTCTCAGTGGCAGGCACATTTTTCTGCATTAGAAAGCTCAACCAACATGTACTGTAACATTCCCTTTTCAGCTTATGAATCTGCCTGAAACAAAAACATCTTTTCCTTTACTCAAAAGCAAACCCTTTGAACAACAGAAGTACAATCCAAATACCAATTCATCAATTGTCAAGACAAAGTCACATGATGCTATCAGGGTTTTTTTTAGAAAAAAAATCTAATGCACTGTATTTTCATTCATATATACATATATCTTTATATATATAAATCATGAGAAAGAAACTATTCTGAAAGGACTGTAAAAGCTTAATTTGGCCACTCTGCATTGTTTCCATTCTACTTTGAAATTTATTACCTGTTTATTAGGTTTTTAAGATCTTCCAGACTTGGTTATTCCCATGATTACACACATACTACACACAAACATTTTAATTAGGTTATTTAGCATGTATAATACATAACACTTGAGCAGTTCTTCTGGGAGAAAAAAACAACACAAAGAGTGACATCTAAATAGCTGAAAGTACCAGGTGACAGTTATGATAAAGTATCAGCAGAAAAGAAACTGGATTCATCTGTCATAAATTCTTTCTGTTTGATAATCGTAGAATATAATCCATACATAGCGCTGATTTAAGTAGAAGAAACCAGTATTATTGGCAGGAAGGAGAAAAAAGAGAATGGCTCTTTTAAAATGCCATAATATTATGATTTGGGTGCTTTTATATGGCAACTGCTTGCATAACTAAAACAACCTTGTATGCCTAGCCTGCAGAAAGAAAATTTGTTTAAACATAACAGCCAAGTATACAAAATCTCACCTAATACCAGATGCAGAACTTTTTTCAGTCTGCATTTATAAATCTTGAAGGTTAAACAATGGCAAACTTCACAGATGCAGCAACATGGAGCTAACAGGTGCACATTCATTTTTAAATATAATAGCACATAATGACCTTAATAGCACTGCAAGACCTTGCTTGATCAATAAAGTTATCCCTATATCATTAACCTTCCTGACACTAAATAAGCATTAAAAAAAGCAAAAATTTAGAAAAATAAAGTCATTATTACATTCATATTTGCATAAAATATTGCTTGTTTTTACCTATGTTTCTTTTTAATATCAGCAAAAATCTGAATGTTCTCTGCTCCAACTTGTTTTCTGTATCGTAGCAGGTTACCTGCACAGGCATTTATAATCCCTTCATCAGCAACATGAGAAAACACAAACCCTTCAGCACGGATAAAATCAAGACCTGAAAAACCACAAAATTAGCAATATCTTAGCTAAAACTGAAGCCTGAAAAACAGAAATTCTAAACCCAAACAAAACCCAACCTGACTGCCCCCCTTATCTAATCCTAACACAAGTTGTTCCATAAGCTCTAGGACAAACCAACCTTGCTTTTTCACATATTTAAATTTTACAGTTTTTATTTTCGCCTATATTATCTCCAACTTCTTTCCATCTTACTGCCTTCAACTCTCACCTCCTGCACAGAGACACCAGTTTTCCCCCTACCCCCAGCATTTCCCTTCTCTTTCCCTGCCCTTATCAGTTTGTCCCTGAGAAGAGCCAGCTGCACACCCTGTCGTAGCATAATAGAATAGTTAGGGTTGGACAGGACCTGTTTCTTGCTCTGTGGGCATGTGCCAACAAAAAAGCAGGTAGGTCAAAACACAGCTCTTCAATCTCAATGATGCGTCTTCTCTCCAAAAGAGTCATTAACTTGGGTCTCTCTCCTCTTTCCTGATACTCTTTCACTGTATTATTTCCTTCCCAACATCTATTTCACTAAATACACCTGAAGCTGCCCATCAGGTCAAAAAGCACCAAGGATATGGGCAGAGAGGAATAGCATTTTCTTCTTTCTTTAGGAAAATAGGCAAGAAACACAGCCTATATTATTATATTATATACAACCTCCATCTGAATGTATCTTGTTTTATCTACACAGCACCACATCAATAAATTACTTCTAGAACTCTGTCAAAGGTACAAAAAGACAAGGTTTGGCAAGACTGAAACATTTTCCGCTCTACTCCAACCATCAACGCTACCATGTCTATGTTTTACACCATATTAAATTAATTTTTTGCACTAGGAAGGTTTTGTGGAATAGATACCGAAGATTACGAATAGCAATGACTTCACAGGCCATTCATCTACGCTCAGGGACACAGCCTTGAAATATCTCTGTGTTGAAATCCTGAAGCCTTGGGCCAGTGTAGCAAGCCCACAGCTGTGAGGCACCAAGATTGAATTCTGACTCCCTTATTGTATTCCCCTCTTTTCTCCAGTCTTTCATAACCTCGAAGTTTATTTCACCTGTCACTTAACACATGTGTAAAAGCTCTGCATTCATCTAGCTTTTTGCTGTTCTTCCAGTATGCTTTAGAGGTCTCTTCCAAGCCCTTCTGAAGCTCTGCTGCTGCTCCAGCTTTGGAGTCAGCTGCACGTTTAATTAGAGCTGACATCATCCCAAGGAAATGAATGCATGTGAAAGCAGCCATCAAGAATGCAATCCCACCCACCAGAGAACTGCTTCGGCAACAGAGGCCTCACTTTAGCACATTTCGAATACAAACATAAACGATCTTTAAAATGTATTTACCAAATGACAAGGTGCCTGTTTATTTTATAATTTCAGTTTAAATCCAAAAGCCCTGAAGTTGCAGAAACAGAAGCTTATGCCTTATAGAGAAGAGCCTGTATTACTTAGCAACACAGAGAAGAAACATCAAGCTAACAAGAAACATCACAGATGGATGCCAAATCAAATGCAAGCTGTCCTGTGCCTTGAGACTAGTGAGTGAAAGGCATGGATAACTCTCAGGATCCAAAGACAAGAGTGTACCACAAGTATAGTTACATGTGCTAGTAGATGCTGGGTAATAAACACACTGCAAACAGCTAGACTGAGATTTCTGCATCTAGGAAAGCAAGCTGTAGGTGCTATTTCTATAGATACTGCATTGTATAGCACAGTTCAGAGTTATACAAAATGACTTCTCTAATCATAAGACTGTTGATGACTCTAGAGATATGTTACATTTTCACAGCAATCAATGTCTAACTCAGAACAGGGGCTATTCACAGACTAATTTCATTTATTGAAGTCACTGCTTACACGTTGTTTGGTGATGTTTGGTTTGTTTTCCCTTAACTTAGTAATTTAAGACTTTCTGCTAAACATTAGGATTGTTTACATAGTTTAACAAGGCTGTACTCTTTATCTGGGTTTTTGGAGGCTATGAAAATACAAACTTTAACCAAATGTAATAGGTACAGGCACCAAATCATTACCCTGTGAAGCCATAATCAAATCCCATTAATGAAGTCATTCTTATGCTCATAAAATTGTGAGAATGATATTATTGCTTACTTTCACATTTGGCAAGTTGAAAAGTAATAGCCATTGAATAGTTAACAGACAGTCCTATTTCTGACTTATGTGGGAACAAAGCAATTTTGTCATCTCACTGGAAAATAAAAACAGGAAATTTCCAATGAAACCTAATAAAGAGAACTTCAAGACTGTATTAAGAGCATCTAAATCAAATAACTAGCTGCGGCAGGGCCTGCTCAAAGAACTAAAGTTTGTCTCTCTTTCACAAGTTAGTGTTAGTCCACTTAATTTAGTCATATTTAAACACCTTTACCTGAACAGCTGTGAAGGTCTAACTGTAGAGAAAAGCTTTATTTCTTCTTTTATATTTTCCTTCCTATGATAATTTATGATTAAAAGGGAAAAAAAAAAAAGACTGAAACACTTCTTTTGCTGGGTAAGAAAATACTGCAAGATGGAGCTGATGGAAGAAACATCCACCTTAAATGCTGCAAATGTGCATGTAACTGCATTTTGACAACCCAAGACAGTGAATTGGATGCAGCCACTGAGAAGCACTTTCTCAGGTATGTTTCTTCTCTTCAGCTGTAAAGTCAAAAGGAGCTGAGAGCAAGGATGTACTGTTTCACAAAGATGGGATCCAGCCCCTGCTCCTGTTGCTGTTGAAATTTGGACTTTACATGAAGGCAAGATGCTGCAGGTTAACTTTACTGGTGGTATCTTGTTTTATAGGTGCAGTAAATCTTGGCTCCCAGCTCTTCTTACCTTCCTAAAGCAAAAAGAATTGGAAAGACTAATTTTATGCTGAAAATGAAAACTCAGAGGAGTATCAACTTTGGCTGCTATTGATGCTAAAGGCACACAGTCTCCATGCTGTGAAGACCTTTTGCTACTCAGGACATAGTCTTGTAGCAGCTCCTTCCACACTCAGCATGGCACCATGGCACCCACAGATGCTCCCAGGAATGCACATGCCTGCTGAAGTTCTCAGTTTTGCTGCCTCCGTGCTACCACAGCATTACTAATCATAAAACAGTTAAGACTGGAAAGGACCTTAAGATCATCAAGTTCCAACCCCCCTGCCATGGGCAGGGACACCTCACCTAGACCATGTCACCAAAGGCTCTGTCCAGTCTGGCCTTAAACACTGCCAGGGATGGAGCATTTACCACTTCTTTTGGCAACCTGTACCAGTGCCTCACCACCCTCACAGCAAAGAACTTCTCCCTTACATCTAGCCTGGACTTCCCCTGTTTAAGTTTAAACCCGTTTCCCCTTGTTCTACTGCTACAGTCCCTGAGGAAGAGTCCCCCTCTGGCATCCTCGTAGGCCCTCTGAAGATACTGGAAGGCTGCTATGAGGTCTCCACGCAGCCTTCTCTTCTCCAGACTGAACGGCCCCAACTTTCTCAGCCTGTCTTCATGCAGGAGGTGCTCCAGCCTGCTTATCTGACATGGACAAATATTTTTGAGTTGTGACAATGCTGGAGAGAATTAACCAGCAGTGGTAGTTTAAAAAGAAAAAAAAACAGTATACAATTCTGTCCAATCGTATTCCACCTTAAACAGTATCATGAGCTGCAGCACATGAATTCCCATGCAGGATGTATCTGCTGGTGGGTGAGGGAAAGCAACAGTCTCAGACAACAAAACTGTATTTATAAAAGACATGGAGATATCTGGGTACCTGGGATATTTTCTGATATGAAGTCTCATTTAATCAGCTATCAACTGTGTCATTATCATTGATGAAGACTAATTCAGAACTGGTATTTCAGTAACATGATTCTTAAAGGAGAAAAGGGCAGTCAGGTGGAGATCCAGTTGGACTAGATGATTAAGTCCCTTTGTACTGAACTATTCTAGATTTGTAAGATCAGAGAAGATAAAACTTACAAACTTAGCCCTGATTCATGCCAAATGTAACACAGGCTCACTCAGGTGCAAGGAAGCTGCACCCTACAGCAGACCCTAAAATCCTTTCTCCCAAGACCCAGACTGAAGCTCTGAATCTCCAGTCAAGTAGGGAGGAGTAACTGGAATATGAGTATTCCTGTGCATCACTACAGAAATACAGCCCTGGGGACTGTTTTATGCCTGGAAGATCAGCAGATGGCCAGGCCAATATTCTGCAATGGCAATTTTTCTTAAAATCCTTCTTCTCACCATTAACTTTGACTTTATTAGGTTAATGATCGGCCAGTTACCTATTTCTTCTTAATCACTGCTACATGTTGGTAATGGAGAGCATGCAGAATGTGCAAAATAATAAAGGGAGTATCACCAGCATATACTCCCTGTACTAGAAAGGATTGGCATCTCTTTTGCAAAGGCCTACACAGATAGTTTAGAGCCAAGAAAACATTTCACTAATGCAAAAGAAAACACAGATATCAGCTTGAAGGCTTGTGGGCAATTCCTTTAGACACAACAGTCCCCTCTAATATGAAGCAAACAACAGGAGCCCAGGTAAATAACACAATGGTTAATTGCAAGAAAGAAGACACACTGATAAATAAGAAAGAAAAACCAAACACTGTGCCTAAATATGACCCAGACTCAGTGAATATATTGTGGCCATTCCTGAGCACTGAGAGATGATAAGTAATATCTGCTAAACAAAAATAAATAAGGGAGCATTTCTACAGACGCTCATGGAACCTGCTTATATACATCATTCTGTTTCAAGCAGATGTAGTTAATTAAATCAGAAACTACAGACAGGAAATTATACACCTCTAAAAACCACATGGAACACCTGTTAATAATGAACCAATTGAAAAGTAACTGTACAAACAAAGTCTGATTTGCTTCTCCACAAAGAGCATTTTAGGAAAGAAAGAAGATAATACAGGCTTTGGAGGATGTCATTAAAATAAAGTATTAAGTAGTGTTGTCTTTTTTCTGAGAATAAGAATTTGAGATTAAGGGGATTCCAGTAAAAAATACCAATACAAAACTGTACTATTCTGTGTTGTCTCCATGTTTTGTGGTCTATGGCTCCATAGTGACATTAGTGTATTTTAAATTAAAATGTCTACATTAGAAGAGGGAAAAGTTGAGTGGCAGAGGACTTTAATATTAAGGAAGGTGTGGCATGGATCTCCCCCCTTATCTGTATATATAATGACACTAATTTTTGGGTGGCCTAATTTTGACATATTTACCCTTATGAACAGACAGCTTTCAACATAACCTCTTGAAGTCAGAAGCAAAACAACAGACACAACAACACCTTGCAGCGAGGTCCAGGGCCGGAGGAACCATGGCCCACCAGATTGATGCCCTTGGGCAACTGCATCCTCAACACCCTGTGCTGGAGTTGGTGTGCTGAACCAAAAGCGTGCAGCACTGGAGTCTGCAACAGCCTTCTGGAGTGGAAAGGCTGTTGGCAACAATTGTTTTGGTTGGACAGTTGTTATTTGATTACATGAGAAATCACTTGCTGGTTAGAAGAGTGGAGACACAGCAGTCTTCTTTTCCTCAAGATCTCCCTCTACTTTCCTGTCATTGCCCCACACCTCTGAAGAACCCAGCAGAAACATGTTTTTGCTGGCACTCCCTCCTTTAGGTGCCTAGTTGAATAAATAAATGCCTCCTAAAGAACCAAAATAAATAAATAAAATCTCTCAGCCTTCTCAGATGCCTTATCTGCTGATGTATTACTGTTATTTTCACATTTATCCAGTACTTTGTCAATATGCTAGGAAAATTCAGTAATTTCATCTATTACTATTTGGCTATCCTCAACAGGTTTATTAGCATAACCACATGTTGCTGATGTTGAGGTTCTTCTAGTAACGCTGTATACTGCTGACTTCTTTCCCCCTTTACAAAATAATATCATTACCTTCACATAGGTTTTTCTAGCTAAACCACCTTCAAGTATTTTTTCTAGTAAAAGCACGCAGAGCTTACTTTACTTCAGGGCAGAGCTACAGGTTGGGCAGAGAAGAGATTCAGAGCAGCCCTGCGGAAAAGGACTTGGGGGTGTTGGTCAATGAGAAACTGAACATGAGCCAGCTTCAGTGTGTGCTCACAGCCCAGAAAGCCAACTGTATCCTGGGCTGCATTAAAAGGAGCGTGACCAGCAGGTCGAAGGAGGTGATCCTGCCCCTCTATTCTGCTCTTGTGAGACCTCACTTGGAGTATTGTGTGCAGTTCTGGTGTCCTCAACATAAAAAGGACATGGAACTGTCGGAACAAGTCCAGAGGAGGGCCACGAGGATGATCAGGGGACTGGAGCACCTCCTGTATGAAGACAGGCTGAGGAAGTTGGGGCTGTTGAGCCTGGAGAAGAGAAGGCTGCGTGGAGACCTCGTAGCAACCTTTCAGTATCTGAAGGAAGCCTACAAGGATGCTGGGGAGGGACTCTTCATTAGGGACTGTAGTGGTAGGACAAGGGGTAATGGGTTAAAACTTAAACAGGGGAAGTTTAAATTGGACATAAGGAGGAAGTTCTTTACTGTGAGGGTGGTGAGGCACTGGAATGGGTTGCCCAGGAAAGCTGTGAATGCTCCATCCCTGGTGGTGTTCAAGGCCGGGTTGGACAGAGCTTTGGGTGATATGGTTTGCTCATGGCAGAGGGGTTGGAACTACGTGATCTTAAGGTCCTTTCTAACCCTAACTGTTCTATGATTCTATGATTAATAGCCACCTATTATAACTGTGTTGATATTAAAGTCACTACTAAGCTGCTATAGAACAACTAGTCAAAGATTTGCTACCTACAAAGCAGCACTCAGTTTACTACTATTTTGCTTAAAGTGATTTTCTTTTCTTTTTTGCTTTCCTGCTCAGTGAATTCGAGACAATTATTTTTAGAGAAGTGTAATGCATTCAACACAGGCCTTTCCTAGTGGTGTTCTGCAGTTACAGAGCAAATAGCGCAGAACAGCAGCAGAGCTGAGCAAACCCCAAGCTTTCCAGGCATTCTCTCCTTCATTAATAATTGCTGAGAAGTAAGAAAAATACATTGTTCCCACACTATTTACCTTATTTAGTGATCAGTTTTGCTCCTAAAAGGAAACAAAGCTCACTAATGGTTAGACTATTGCTTTTAAAAATGTGTAAATATTTTTGCAAATGCCTCTGTACCTCAAATATTCTACATGCATACAATTCCTAAAAATTAAAACTGGAATTGTTAGCATTTTTGCTTTAGGTTTTTATGTAGGTTTTACTGCAGCAATAAATACTTGGTTTTGTCCATTTCTCAACTGGCAGGATACCTTGAAAGTAGCAACTTACATAGTACAAAGCCTTCCATATTAAAACAGACTCCATATCTTTAAATCATGGAATGTTACAAATAACTAAAACTGCTTCAGCAAGCAGCAGGAGCACAAAGATCAGCAAGTCTAGGATTCATGCAATAAACATAGATTAATTTATATTTAATTTCCCCAAACGTAATTTAATTTTAACTAGTTTGGCTAGCTATACACTCAATTTTTTGTTATTACATAAAAGCTTAATTCCATCCATTCATTTCAAAAAAGGCAATGAAAACTTAGTTTTAATGGATAACAGTAGTAGCAATATATAATCAGATGCTGATACAGGATACTTATCCACAGTGGGTTAAATTGATCCTTAAATATAACTTCACTGAAGTAAACAGAGTTACAGCAAAGGTGGCTTTTAGACATGAGTGGGTTTAAACTAATCATTATATTTAGACAGGTTTCACCTAGTAAGCTGTTGCAGTGGCCTTGGGATTTTTAGCTGCCTCCAACTGAAGCAGTGCCCAAGTACCATCGATTATAATCAAGCAGGCATTTTTCTCAAAACCTAATTTCTGCTTTTTCAGGGTACAGTGCACTTTTCATGTCTCATTTTTCATGGTATCTATGTTAGTACAATACACAATTTGCACAGAGTAAATGCCATAGCAAACAACAGTAATAACTGATGAGTCATTTCTATTACCTGCAGCAAGAGCAACTGCTATCGCCTGTTGATTTGCAACACACAGGATCTGGGCACCCAGCGCTAGATGGGGCCAGGCTCGTCTCACTGCAGCACTAATGACTGTCATCGCTGCAGTTACTTCAGGCCTAGGACACACCGTGTAAGGAAGATCATGCATGTTTTCTATTATCAAGCCATCCTGGAGAGATTATTATAAAGAAATATCATTAAACTGGAAAAAAGGAACTTAAAAAACATGGCTAGTTTACCATTATGCTATTCTGTATTAAAAGACACAGGCACTTAAAGGTTTTCCTTCAAAGGAAGGATTATCTACAGTAAATTGTGTTGATGCATATTACCGTTCTTAAAAGTGCTTTCATCAACAGCATGGTATTTGCAGGGAAATCATGAAGAGAAACAAATGTGATTTTAATTATACATTCATCAATTTTGTTTCTTTTGATCCATCCTAAAATGTGAACTATAGGCAAATGAGTTAAACCTTATACCTCATTAAAAATAATGTAAAGTCAAACTTCAATTATCCGAGTGGAATATAGGATATTGAGTATGTTTGGATAACGGAGGATGTAGAGATAATCAAGACAATTTCAAATTAAATTAATGTCAGAAAAGGTGTTATTTTTGATAAATAAAGGATTTTTTTGTTTGACTATTACTGTATCTATTTGTAGTGTTCCTAATACTATGGTTTTAACTATAGACATTTTTCTCATTCCAGATTCAGAATTACTTGAAGATGTTGCTACTTATTATCTCCTACACCGTTCACTCCACACAAACATACTCTTAGCATACAATGGAGTGATTAAAAAATGTTCTGCAGATATAATTTATGTGATTTATTGAATACCTTGTACTTTTCCTATCATTGTATAGTATATACCAGAAAGTTTTCAACAACTGTAAGTCATATATAATTTTGTCAAGGACTAATAACAAAAGTATAGCTGTAAAATATATTTCAAGTCTGATGTTCTGCATTTGCAGAGAGGATGTTTAAAGAAGCTAAACATTTCTCACCAGCTTCAACCTAAATATAAAAAAAGTCTAATAGATTAATTGTACATATAGAAAATAAATTTCATGCTCTCTGGAGTTCTATCACATATCTTAATCCTTTAAAATGAGAGCTTTACATTTCAAAGACATTGTAACTGAGCCAGAATAGAAAGAACAATGTTTCAGAAAAAAAAACAAAACAAACCAACTAGAGATTAGAGAAAGAAGTCTGGTTAACAATAACATAGAGAATCAGGAAGAGGGAGTGGGGGAAGATTTCTATTTTAAAAAAACTTTTATATGTAATGCTTCTTTAATCTTTGTTGCAGTGTAGAAGCTCTTTTGGCAGTAAAAGATAAGAGAGTATATAAAATGCAGTCAGCATTTAATGGCTGAATTACTGAGTGAGCTACAGACATGATAAATAAACACCTAACATGCAGGATGAGAACAACAGAGTGGAAGTCATTGGTGGGAGAACATGGTCAGACTGAGCACACGACCCACATGCATTCATTGCAAGCATTCAGCCACCTTTAACAAATGGCTTACAGCTGAGTATTTAAACACTCAAATGCATGCTACCTTAAAAACAAAAGGACACAAACGACAATGAAAAAAGCAATCTAATATGAGCACCCAACATTAGACCTATGCACTATTTGCTACTGTTCATCAACATATTGAATTACAGAATTCCAGTCCCAGAAAACCTCAACTAGGCAAAGGAAAACCAGATTTGACAACTAATCAAAACATCTGTCCTGATTTTGTTTCTATGTCCAATTCAATGTATAGTCTAACATCCACACTTCTCTACCTGTGATGGAAGGTAGCCAATACAACAAAGGTGACAACCAGTCCTCAGAAAACTCACAGTATTTTCAGAAATGGAAAAAAAAAAAAAAGGAAAAAAAAAATCACAACCTTTTAGTCTGTTCCTCTGGAATGGGGTCACAACTGTTCCAACAAACCTGAACTGACCAAATGTTGTTGAAACTCAGGTGCAGTTACCAAATCCTTTGTGGGACAAAGAGAAACCCCTTGGCCCTTTGTCCTCTGTATACAAATTTATTAGGTCAGTCTAAGCAAGAATGCAAAGTTGGTCAGTAGCACTATTTGGCAAAAAGATTAATCTAAACCTGTACTATTTTAGCAAAGCAAAAAAAAAAATGCAATGATCCCTCAAACCCAGGTATTTTTCTTGAGACCACAGAATCTAGAAGCCCTTGGTGCTTGGCTTAAGTATGCTTTGCTAGGCAGACTTCACCAAAACATGGGTATCTATGAAACTCCAAGCTTATCAAAAGGGCAAGGAGATAGGGTCTGCAAACCAGCTGCTTTCAGGCAGTCAAGAATCAACCTCAATAGGACACACATGAAGAAAGACACCTGGGAATGGGACGTCAGATGCTCAGCTCCTGAAGAGCCATGCTAGTAGCAGGAAAAGCAGAATAAGCTCACTGAATTCCACAGAAATTCCACAGTGAAACTGAGCTTTCCATGGCTTCCTACTACTTCAACAGCTCAGGATTTGCATAAAGCAAATTATTCCATTAGATTAATGAATTGATTCATTTTAAAATTAATTAAAAACCTAAGCCATGCTACTGTGCATGTGAATTCTTGTTCTAAATGCAGGCATATGGGAGGATTCCAACATTCCTCTCTTCTGCCTTGAACTTGCTATATTCACTTTTCAGCAGTTGTCGCTTCCTATGGCCTCAAGGCCCACAGTTACAGTGAATATTTTTGGTATGACTTTAATAAAGTCTTCTTCTTTTGGTACCATCCAATAGACTCTGTTCTTTTGCATATTATATTTTATTTAATTAAAAAAAGAACAACATACGTTCCGCAATAGTGAGAGCTGAATTACAGATGCATTAACTCAGAACTTTCTTTCATATTTTATATAAAAAATAACACCACAGATTTCTGTGTTTACTGAATTGATATGTGTATAAAACAGACTTCATTACTATCAGGCAGCTAATTAAAATGGTGGAAAGAAAACCCTTATGCTGAATTCAAGTTCTTGGCACTTAATCTTACAGTTTAGAAGTTCATAGGAACAGCTACTGTATAACACACTTCAAAGAAGAATTTACTCGGATAATAAAAGATAAACTCTAGCAAATACCTTTTGTGTTCCTTTTCTACTGAATATTATGACTATTTAAGTGTTGCTTACATATAATGGCCTCATTATAAACAATTCTCAAACGATATATTTTCTTTTTACTTTGAATGACTTCTGAAGTGCTATGTATGTGTGCAAAGTGCCTCTTGTATCAGAGCTACCTACTAGAAAATAGGTCATTTAAACAGCTCTCTGATTTTATAGAAAAATAATTTCCATAGCTTTATTCCACTTATAGAAATAACCTCTTAAAGCACTTCAGCCTCATACACACATATCATAGTAGAAAAAACTCAAATGTAGTCACAACACTATAAACCACAAATATAACAATCTTACAAGCTTTAACTCAGTATCTACCTAATGTAACTTTTATCTAGGACAAATTTAATCTTAGTGTTTCCTTTAACAGAAAGGTCTTACCTATAAACACATGCCTACTAATACAAAACTTTACAAACTTAAAACAATTCCTCTTTCCTCCAGGGAGAAAAGGGAACTATACCTTGCTCTATACCCACCATTATACAGGCTCAGATGTACACTGAGATAACCACAGCCTTTCCCACCACCATAGTCATGGGCTCCTTATGAAGGAAATCAGGTGCCTTTGCAAAGTATTTATGACCTGTGTCGCAGCACAGCTTTGTAGCTATTACTTTTAAAATTCTACCTCTAGAACAAGAGGTTACTGCTTTAATAGACATAATTAAATATATTACTAAGCAATTCTCCTGCATATGATCCAATGGCTGAAGCACCTCTCCTCTGAAGACAGAGCTCCTATGAGCAAGTTGGGCTTGTTCAGTCTAAAGAGAAGGCTCTGGAGACACCTTATAACAGTTTTCCAGTACCTAGAGGGGCCCACAAGAAAGCTAGAGAGGGACTTTTTACAAGGGCAGGTAGTGGCAGGACAAGAGGGAATGGTTTTAAATTGACAGAAGGGAGATTTAGATTAGACATTAGGAAGAAATTCTTCCCTGTGAAGGTGGTGAGACACTGGTGCAGGTTGCCCAGAGAAACTATGGCTTCCCCATCCCTGGCAGTGTTCAAGACCAGGTTGGACAGGGCTTGGAGCAGCCTGGTCTCGTGGAAGGTGTCCCTGCCTGAGGCAGAGGGCTGGAACTGGGTGAGTTCCAATGTAAACCAGTCTGTGATTCCATGATATACCATAGGAAGTGTTTGTCTGTTTTATTCTACTGTAATACAGCTAAGATTTGAAATGTTAATCTCTGTAATCAAGTTATAACTACCTACATGGTTCTATGAAGAAACAGTACTTTATTCTGTTATTAAACAGAATATTATGTTATTATTATCTCAACTGTTATTAAAGTCTAATTTGAATCCCAACTATCATTGTAGTTAAGAGTAACAGGGTTGAAATTTTTTTTTTTTTAATCAATGTAAAACATGTAGTAGCAAATCCCATTCCAGTTACAAAGACAAATGAAGCATCAGGAGGATGAGCACTGGTAAAAAAAAGTGAACCAAAATTTTGCGTGGTAAGAAGCACCATAATATTTGCAATTCAATATAACTTTAAGTTTTGGGGATTTTTTTTAAATAGAAATAGTTTTACTTGTGTATCTCTAACTGTTTTTAATGTCAGCTACTCAAGTAGCTACAGCTAGATTACAGCAACTAGTAGTAAAGTGATCTATTTCAATGAAATTAGAGGGAACTTGTGCTCTATTTTCTGGCTACAGAGAAGCATCAGAGACTGAACAGAATGAATAAAAGTTTACTTGAATACACATTTTGCATTTGTCTTAAGCAAAAGCAGATACAAATTGGAGGGATCATAGCTTGCTGCTTATAAAATCTTGCCTAGGGAATTTCATTGTTTAGCAACACACGAGTACAAAGCATATACATTTTGAGCACAGATGGCTTCCTAACTGAGCACTCACTTGTTTTCATTACTGTGCTGTAATATCACAAATCTTTCATATTTATTATGTTAAGCTGCTAATGTGCCAGACAAGTCACCTTTTTCTGAAAATACTAGGATTTATCCAAGTGCAATGCATATTGAGTGAGCAAGACCATATACTTTATTTGTAAATGTTAGCACAAATTCAAGCAACTTGAGAAAATATGTAAACATCTAGTTGTGGCAAGATGGTTACTTATCTTCTAAAAGATTTGGAAATGCTGTCATTAGAAACATCTGTGGAAAAAACCTGTAAATTTCTAGCTCTTCTTTCGCAAGAAAAAACAGACAGCTTAGCAGATCACTTGAGATACTGAGGGGCAAACCCAAATATATTTCCATTACATATGCTGGATAGTTACCTTGGAAGAGTGGTGATCTCTGTTCAGAAGACAGGAATTCCTGAAAGTATCTATCACAAAAACTTACTTTTCTTTTAAAGTACCATGAAAAAATACACAAATAAATTGCAGAATATGTTAGGCAGCTATACTGATATTTATGGATGCTCTCCTGATTATTTCTGACCTTTATGGCACTAATAAGGATTTGTTTGTCATACTGCTGCTACGACTGTTAGAACAAAGATTGGTGTGGAACGTACACTGATGTTCTTGTGATTTCTACAGCAAATCAACTAAACATAACTTCAAGCCTTGTATTTGTCCAAATGTGCAGAGAAATGACTGCATTTACCTTATCTGTCCTACCCAAGAGTTATGCTTAAAAATACATTCAAGTTCAGAGGCTGTAATACGGGAGGAAAAAATGTAAACCAGTTAGACCTGGAATAGCAAAATTTATTTCAACTCTTGAAAAGGCAATAAAGTATAAACCCCAAATTAAAATTCTGTGTTAGAATGGATTTTAAAGCTTGTCTTAAGATTGTTCCAGCTTTGTGTATGTCAGCAGTGAAAGTAACTGCTTCTGTACCTTCCCTCACCTTTAGGTATACTTGGTGTTTTCTATCTGCTGATAAAAGTTTTGATGTGCAATTAGTATGTAAAGAAATGGGTAAACAAGCACTGAAACTTGAGGCAATGGCTTTACAAATTACAGATCACTTGTATAACCACTTCCTCTAACACAGGAAGACAAAGACTAGTACTTGCCACTCTTCTGATGTAAATTAAATCATGTTATACCTCATATCATCATGATACTGTAACTGTAAAGTCAAAATATAAAGCCACGGTACAGAATACAGAGCTATTGCACACCTGCTCTGTCAACAGGCACAAAAAGGAAGAAAACTTACTCATCCTGTACAATTTGCAGTACGAGATTATTCTAACTGGGCGGCCATCTTGTACTTGCCCATCTGATTCACAAGCCCAACTATGTAAACATCATTTTTTCACACTGATGTTTATCCTTTAAACAATTCCCAGGATTCTTTCTAATTTGCTAGCTCTCTCTGCCCATAATCTACTTCATGTGACTTGTCTTGCATTGTGACCTTGGTCTTCTATAATTTAGACTAAGTTCTTACATTCAATTTTGTTCAGTCCCTAAAGTCTCATGGTAACTTACGCCATTAAAAATGTTTCAACCAGCTTCTTGTGCAGACAGCAACAGCCCAGAGCAGTGGCTACTTGTTCATTTAAGATATTTTTCAAACATTGGACATTAGGACGTCACCTTACCATGCCAGAAAATGTACATAATACTGTACACCCAAAGACTGGTGCAATGAAATGTTTAAAACATGTCTGACCTTCCAAAAGTACATGTTAAAATCTATTGACCAATGAAGATTACTATTCCACTTTAGGTACAGTGGCAATTCAGTCAGTAGTACTTGCCCTGACTTGCCTCTCACTGAGACTGGCCTTTTGGGCCTTCTCTTCTAGATGTGCAAAGCTGGCATACTTCCAGTCAAGGGGCTTGAATAGAAGGGTTAAAGGGCAGAAAAGCTTCTAAGCTTACCTCTTAGTTTTTTTCCCCTGAATAATCTGTGGTGTTTTGGTACAAACCCAAGCGTGGGGCAACCCTGCAGCCTGCAAGTGACTGAGATATGCAATGCCTTGGCTGTGTGAGAGTGTGCCTCCATGACTACATGAAACCAGAGTACTGCACAGAGCTAAAACTACAGTGGCTTGTCAGACTGGATAATGAAGGATTCTACAGCCAGATGCCTAGAAGATCAGCAACTGTCCATGTTGCAGTCAATGTTACTTTTTTTCTTTCTCCCTTAAATTGACTTGATTCTTAGAATCTGATGGTAATCCAACTGAAGCAATTCAAATTACACAGTTTGAGTCTAAGCTTTTTCAATCGTTTTGGGTGCATGTGATGCTTATTTTAGGTTTTGTAATCAATGCCTACTTACGATATTGAAATGAAAGATGTGGATTTAAGCATCTTCCTAAACTGTGTTAAGACTCTTTGAATTATAGACTCAATTTAAAAAATATTGCCTATGCAGAAGCAGCTTTGTGTAAATGCTGCTATAGGAAGTAGGAACCCAAAACTTACAACTCCAGCATTCTTGTAAACTTCTGCCTCTTGACAAGCTTGATCAATGATCTGGGTCAATGGAAGAGAACTTCTTGGTGTCCCGGCAAGAGTAATGCTGCTTACTCAAGGATTGCACAAACCAAAACCACATACAGTAACAGCTTTCAGGTTAACTATAGAGATTGGCACACTGAAATAGGGAGAAATAGAATAAACTTGCTACAAGGTTGATTATGACATGCCTTAGTGGCATCTCTTTCATTAGGTGAACTTCTCAGATCTGCTGTAACTGTTTGGCTCCTAAATGTAATTGACAAACTTGATAAATACCTGCTGTAATCTCTTATTGTACCTGATCTGCTCTTGGCTTGTTATTCCTGTACTTATTATACATTAGTGATGTTCCATGCAATACAGCCTATGGCAAGACAGATATCTAGGTCTGCAGAACACCTGTGCTACACACAAGTCAATTTAAAATTACATAAAGATATCTTAAACTCTAATCTGTAAGTTGATTATACCTGAACTTTGGTGTAAGTGCTTCATAGCAGAAATGAACACACATGGATTTTGCGGAGTTCAGCGAGTTTCACTTAAGAATAGCTCCAAAGCCTTTTCTGATGTTTGGGCTCCTAAAGCTCAGAGTCTGAAATGTGGACTGTGAAGAGCTCTCTGGCAGCTTGGTTACATGGTCTGTTTTCATGGAAGGCTGGCCATGCTGCCTAGAGCCTGCTTCTGGGAAAATGTGGAGCTTGGTGAGCTCTGGGCACCAGCCTGTCAAGGGGATCTGCGAGAGCTCTACCTGACATGTGGTAGAGTTGTCCCCTGTCCCAACGCCCCTTTGTGTGATTTTATAACCGTTGCCTCCTCAAACACGGCGCACCGAAACCACCCCGTGTTCCCTGTGCTCCTCACCCAGTAGTACCTCCTGCCTCTGCTACTGCTGGAAAGGGGGAATGTGCAAACCTATGGTACTTTATGAGGGGCCCGGGGCGGCGACCTGATGCTCCCGGGGGAGCGGGCCCTCTTCCGGGCCACAGCCGGGCTGACAGGTGCCGCTGCCGAGGGCGCCGCCGCTCACCTGGCAGCGCTCCCACGTGCACCACCCCGACGACCGCTGTCTTCAGCCGCCCAAAGAGCCTGGGTAGCAGCATCCCTGCGGGGAGGAAAGGAGAGAGGGGATCAGGGCCGGCAGGGGAGGGGTGGGGGGGGGACGACAGGTCCCGGAGGCTGCCCGCCTCTCGCCGCCGACAGGCCGGGCCCGTTCCCGCTCGCGGACGGGACTGCCCGGCCTGCTGCCACAGCTCCGTCCCTTCCGCTCCCTGCGCCTCGGGTCACCTCACCCCGCCACCGGCATCCACCTGCAGCAGCCCTAAGCGCTCCTGCCGCTTCCGCGTCGGTGCCGCCGACCCGCCCCCGGCCCCGCCCCGCCCCGCCCCGCCAGTCCTGTCGCGGGGTCCCGCGGCGCCCTGCGCAGCTCCCCGGGTCTCGCCGTCGAGCCCGCCGCGCCCCCCGCAGACCCCGCCCCGGCGGCGCTTCAGAGCAGAGCGCGGGGCCACGTGTGCGGGCGGGCGGGGAGGCGGCCCCGCGCCGCTCGTTTAAATGTCCCGCTCGGCGCGGGTTGCGCTGTGCGTAGGGACGGGAGCGGCCGCGCCGTGAGGCAGGAGGCGCCCAGCGGAGCCCGCCCGCGCCGCGCTCCCGCCCTGCCCCCGCGCCCCGCCGGCGCTGCCCTGGGCACCCACCTACCCAGATACCCTCCGCTCTGCTCCGGAGCGGAGGCGAGCTACCGAGTGCGGGTGCCGCTGGGCAGCGGGTGGTGGGTGCCCCTGTCGCCTCCTGGGGTGACCGGCTGCGGGGTTGGGGGAGCCGGCGGGCCCGGCCCGGGGCTGCGGCCGCCCTTTTCCGCGCCGTGCGCCCGCGTCTCCGCTGCTCTTTGTGGGGGCTGAGGCTTGGGCCTGCTCGGCTGATCCCCGCGCAGCGTTCCGCTCGCCCCGACCCGGTCCAGGCAGGCACCATGCGCCGGGAGAGGTAAGTCTGCTTGCTGGCCCTGCCGTGCGCGGGGCCCTCTAGGCCGAGGTCTCCGCAAGCACCCCTGAGGAGGCTCCTCGCTGCCGCAGCTCCTTTAGCTTCTCCTCTCTTGGCAGTGACTGCTCGGAGGAGAAGGCGCCCGCCAATGGGGACGGGTCCGCTGAGAGCGCCATGCGAGCCCGCAAGAGGAAAGCTGATGTGGCTACGGTGAGTGTGGGCCCGCCTGGCCCAGCCGCCCACCCTGATGCCCGCAGGCCGGCGCCTGCTCTGCCGCTGGGCTTGGCCTCCGAGCCCTCGCCTCCTTTTGTTGGGTGTCTGGAGGCCATGTGGTGGTCGGGTGTGGGGTGGCTGGGGGGTCTGCTGCGGGGCTGTGGTCCTGAGGGACCAGACACACGGATGCTTGTCCTGTGGTTTGTGCTTCAGAAACTACATGTTACTTTTGATAGTTCTTGCAGGATCCTGATGAAGAAGTTGCAAACATGGAGCTGACTAGAAAAAAGCAGTGTGAAAGCCAGGTAACTCATTTGTCTTTAGATCGGACAGCTGTAATCTTGTTTAACCTTATTATTACTTTGCAGTACCCTATTCTTGAAAACGTGGTAAAAACAGGTATATATAGGTACCCATGCTGTACAGTACTGGGCGAGGGGGACTATCAACGCTGGCTGATGAAACATGCAAAACACTTCAGTCTGTACCAGTTGCTCTTGAGTCTTTACAAGAGATGGGGCCCCTGTTGGTCTAAAGCATTGTTAATACTTCACTATAACCAATTATCCTGGGATTGCAAGGGTGCACCTTACAAAAGCCTTCATTTGCCTTTAGTTCTATGTGGAGGGATTCTGCACTGACCTCTTTAGAGAGCTGCAGGAGTACAGTAAGTGCTTACATGCTGTACTTTGCAGGCCAAAACACAAGACCCTTAAGCATGCAAGCAAAATCATCTTTTGAGGTGGTTCTTTTCACAGTCATGTCTTTACTTGTATCATACGGGAGAGAAGGATCCTCAGGACACTTTCTACTCTCTGCTCCATTCACATTGACAAGGGTCATTATTAGACTGACAAAAAGTAAGGGCTTCCTGATCAGAACTTTATAAAGTTTTTAGTAGATGCTAATGGGGAAATAAAATAGGTTTCCTTTCCCTGTGCAATAAAGGGATAATTTCTATCAAGTCACTTAACTGTGGAAATCAGGCCTGCAGTGGAGGTTGGTGGTGACAGTTGCCAGCTTTCTCCATAAGTCATCCAGAAAGATCTGAGTTAGTAAAAACTAACTCTAGTAGTATCCTCTTTCCCCCCCTCCTCTCCTCCCCCTGATGCCCTTTCCATATTCTTCAAAACTGAGGTGCTGTTGGTACCTATATTGGATGCTGTTTTGGTATACAATATTGAAAGCATGATGCTTTTGTATATCAAGGTGCCCACTCTAAATAAAGCAGAACAGCCTGTTTTCTGAAACAGGTTTAACTCTGGCTCTTCCTTCCCTTCTTCTCCTCTCTGCCCCCCTCCCCCATTTTTTTTTTTTCCTGTGTGTACACACACACACACTTACTTAGTCAGTGGCGCTAAAACTTCAGCCTGTTCATGCACATGCAGGGTGATACTTGAGCTGTAAAAGTCATGATCAGGGAGCACAGACCATGCTCATTTGGTACACAAGGCTATGCATAATGTGGCACATGTAACCAGAAGTGGCAGCTGGAAGTTCTAAGACTAAAGTGCTACCATAACAGATGGGCATCATTGTTTGGAATGGCCTCTGCTTGTTGCAACTGCGTATACTAGTTATCAGTCAACATATTAAGCAGGGCTCAAATGGTGAGCATTTAATGAGGGGATCTCTCCTTCCCTTCTGTCTTTCTCTTGTGTGGTATATTAAACTAATTTCTCACTTCTGACAAGGAAGAGCTGCCTGTCCTTCACCACTGCTTTCTCCTTCACCAAAAGATTCATTCCGCTTGATCTAAGCTAAGTTTGATCTACCGCTTCTTATGCATGTTTATTGCATAATAATAAGGTATTGTTAAAAACCTCACAGGAGCCCAATTCCACCTTCTTTCATAAAGACAGTGAAAGAAACTTGAAGTGTTTTCTATACACTGGCCTTCAACTTTGAAAGTAGATAAAGGCTTTCATTTCTGTGTTCCCGGCTTGGTAGGGATTCAGAATTAGTTTGGGAATGATAGGTAAATTAAAATGTAGATAATTTAGGCATCCATAAAATAGGCATCCAAAATATTTATTTGTGAATTTTTAAAGTTAATTTCATAATACTGGTGTGATTTGCCCCTTTGATTTTGTAAACAATAAATAAAATGTGTACCTGTGTATCAATCCCTACACACAGGGTTTGTTTTGTTATTTTTATTGTGACAAAGTAGCCAGATTGTTACAGATCTGGTTTAAAAAAAAAAAAAAGCTAACATTTGGCTGCGCAGCAGCTCTTGAGTCTGTGGTGTGACACAAGCTATTCTGATATAAATTGCCATGGGCCACTAATGAGAATATGTTTATGGTTCCAGCAGCAGTATAGCAGGCTTGTATGAAGTCAGTGAGACAGCTATTTTGTTGAGGCACAAACAATTCTAAAATGCAAGTAGCTATAAATCCACTGCAGCCTGTACCACATGACTTCTACATTAAATAAATTGTTTACTGACACTAGTTTATACACAAGGCAAAATATCATAGTCGCATCCCACTTTATGTCATCTTCATAGTCAATTCATTAGTTTGTTTCTGTTGAACATAAGGCCGGAGTTCTTAATTAGGATACTGTTACCCTTTATGTGATGAAAGGGTGGCTATATCATCAGGTTTGTGACAGCAGAATATTGCGTAAATTCTATGTTTGATTTTAGAGGACTGGCACCGTAATTCTGCTAGCAATTCTCCTACTAATTCTGGATGCTTTCTGTGGATGGATACACTTCCAAGGGTCCGTGTAAAACAAAATTAATCTAACTAGATTAGAGTCATCCATGCAATTGTGACACAAATTATAAGGCCACCTCCATCTAGAGTGGAGAATTGACTATAGAGGTTTGTTTTTTTTTTTTTTTTATATGCAACGAACTAATCTTTTCAGGTGAAAAGAAGATGAAGTAAACCCTCTGGAAATAGGTTTGATTTCTCATGAGACACTTTTCCAGAAGCTGGTCTTACTGTTGCCAGGATGTTCCACCTAACAGGTTTGGAAATATCCTCCAAAAAGTTTCTTTAACCAGCCTAAGTTACCTTTGAAAAATCCAATTTAAACAAACAAAACAACCTCCCTCAAAAGCGGTTTACAAATCTTCAGGCAAACAGATGTGAAAAGAATGTAAACTATATCCAGATTGAGGTCTTGACTTGGCCGTAATCTGGGGTAGGACAACATTCAGACTCTTTAGAAAATCAGAAGTAGTAGAAGCACCAATGCTATTTAGAAAGACTTGGAACAACTTCATGTGAGTTGCTCTTCTCTCTCCTACTTATTAATTCTGGAATCTTTCTGATGGCAAAGAAAAACCCCTATACTTCAAACTAATGTATCCTATGAAAGAAAAATGGCTAGAATTATAGGTCTTATTATTTTTGACAGACAAACTAAGGCTGCAGTCTAGTAACTGGTATCTATGTCACTCTGTTACAAGGTGCTGTTTTTTAGGGTGCAGCAAACAGACCTGTCCCCTTCCTGTTCCTTTCCCTTCAATTTCCATGCTGGAAATCCTTGCTGTTTCAATGGAGTTGAAGGCACCCTTTTCCTCTGCTTTCCTGCTGCCCTCTTTGCCCTCACTCAGGAAGCTTGTACTGGGGGGGTCCAGCTCACGTTGAGATGCAGGGAGTGTCTCAGCAGCTTGTATTCTTAAGTGTGGCTGCTTCACTGAAGCCTTTGCCTGGCCTGTAACCTATAACCCCAGTGTTTACTGTCTCCTCCATTTTTTGTCTGGCCTATATGCTTGAAGGATGTCCAAAAGATCTGTTTAAATGGACATTTGATATATCAGTGAGTGATAACATGCTGCAGAAAACTGAGGAATAGGAATATCTGAGCTTTTAAGAAAGCACCCCTGAACTTCTGGCTTTTCTTTGTTTGGAGCTGTATGGGCTTGGCTGCTCTGGTAACTTTCCAGTCTATTTCTCAGGATGGAGAACTTTAACTCTGGACAACC